GCCATAGTTAGTAATAGGTGTGCATTCGTGTGTGTGCTGAGTGTGTGCGTGGGGTATCCAAGGTGATCCGGAGTTGAAGTGTGAAGTGAACACTGGTGTTGGACACAGTGACAAGAGTTGCGATGTGTGGGTGCTGATGCACCATAGCCTGTTAAAGCGAGCTTGCATTTGAACTGTGTCTTGGTTTCCATATCTTCGAGCTTTGAGTTGGGCGCTATGCGCCAGTGTGGTTCACCATCTGTTTGTATGCATGTGAAGTGACGAAGTATGCGAGTCTGATTGCACCTGGTAACGACTTCTATCTTTTTCAATATAATCATCGTGAAGTAAATCCACAAAACCTAAAGTAACCTCATGTTCGCCTTCCAATTTACCTACCACAGTACCAGGAAGCACATGATCACCACCAGAAGCTAAACTACGAAAATGCATACCGTGATTTTTTTGACAATCAAGTACAGAATGCATAGCACGGCGAATATGAAGCAATAAACCATTATCTCGGATCTCAACAATAATGAGCTAGAGTAGTATTAACTGCAAGCCCACCTGGAAGATGATCATGCATAATAATAGGCATAGCACGGTGAATATGAAGTAATAAACCATTATCTCGACAATAGTGAGCTAGAGTAGTATTAGTTGTAAATCCACCTACAAGATAATCATGCATAAAAATAGTCACACCTTGTTCCCTCGCACATTGTGCTCGCTTAAGCATTTCTTCACCAGTTCCTGCCGTAGCATTTAAATAGTGACCTTCAATTTCTTCAATTTCTGCTTGAGATTTACAAATTGCCCCAAGGTATCTTTTTGCCCCAGTAGGGGACTATCTGTGTGTGATTGAATGGAGCCTGTCACGTTCTGATCTTGTACCGTTCCAGTTTGGGACTGTACATGGAATTTGCTGCCAGACCCGTTTGACTCACCTTCTGTACATTGTCCCTGTGTTATGTACCCGATTGAACTTCAATCCACAACGAATTCACACGTTTCCATACACGCATGCAATTGGAGAGTGGACTCGAAGGAGGCAACTCCACACATAACCGGAGAGAAGATATGCACAGCGGAAGCTCAAAATACACAGAATTGGAAAATGAATTTCAATTCTGCAATCCCTCGTCGTCCTCCAATCAATCCAGAGTACTCGTTCCAAGAATCACAACCGCGTTTACAACCCCCAACAACCAAAAACAAGTGTTCAACGAAGTATGCAGAAGTCTTCTTCTTCCTCCTCGCCACGCCATACCCCTGGCTATGGCTGTCGTAACAGCAGTAACCCCACAGCTGTCACAACGTGCCAATCTGAACCAGGAACCCCAATGATAGCAGCGCCAGCTCAGCGCCCGCATGGAAGTGCAGCGCTGGAAGTCCTGATGAAGGAGGAGACAACCGATCCAGCACTTTGAAGAGGATGAAGTTCCTCATGAGGAGGACCAACAGATATGGCTGCCAAGTGGAAAATGGCAGCGCCCAAACCCAACAACACGGTCCTGTGGAATCTCTCATGCAGAGCTGCAACATAGCAACAGTGTGATCTTCAACTTCGTTTCCCAACCCTGGCTATGGCTGGGCTTTGAGGAAGAAGATAACCTCGTCCAAGATGGAGCATCAGGGCTCCAACAACGGATGGGCAGAGTTTCCCCAGCCAACCAAAAGGTGAAAAGACCCCAACCAAATTTCTGCCCGCTACTTCTACCCTCTGCCTAGTTGTTACATGCCCAGTTGGGCGATGTACATAAGAACCGAGGATCCGCAATGTGATGACAAGGACTGAATGGACAATGCAGTGCAAGTAGAATCTCAACAAGCAATGCGCATTCCAATACATACAAAATGATGCTGAATAGCGCAGGGAGACTTAGATACAAATCCTGACCTGACCGGGACTGACCTCATTCACATAGCACAA